TAGAAAAGGTTGTAAAAAGAGAAGGAATTCCACATTTTTTTCATCACTGTATATTCTATATAGTATTTCAGCTGTGTAGCACTTTTCACATTGTCTTGTTATTTCAAAGCTTGTCATCAATTCCAACCATTAGTTCACAATTCTTTTAACAGCTGGTTGAATTGATAACCATCTAGTTTTGCAATCCTACAGAATTTTCAGGGGTTTGGAACCATCATTTAGGGCTGTAAATAATGTTGTATTGCTGTTTTCTGAGAAATGATTTGGAAAACCAGATATGTGTTTTAGCAATAAGGTATTCCAAATTCATTGGTAAACATTCAGATGAAGCATGTGATAATGCTAGCTGCAATGAATTACACATACATTTTATAAGGATTATAGATCGGATAGCTTCCTTCAACTTGGCATAAACGCCATTGTTTATACCAACAATCACCGAGGCATTATCGGTACCAACTGCAGCCAAATTCTTCAAATCAAACTGTTTGCTGATTAAAAGTTTCTTCAGTTCCTGAACTATACTTTCTGCATCACATTTTTCCAATGGAACTAGTCCAAGATATGTAGAAACTACTTTGTCTGTATTGTAGCTGTAATATTAAATACACACACCAAGCACTTTGAGTACATAAATATCATTTGATTCGTGTAATAAAAAAACTATGTTTATTGTAGAAATATCACTGATTAAATCTTTTTCAAAGTTGGAAAAATAAAGTATTTCTTATGTGTACACTTGCTGTGAAGCATTTTCACATCATCCATAGCTTTACTGTCAGAAATGGTGTTTTTAAACAAATCAATCACAGTGTGAAATTACACAATGACAACTTAAAAAACATTGCGACTGATCCTTCAACTTTTGATGATTCATTTATCAGTGTAGTTCTGAAAACAGATGTCAGCGGTGTAATATCTTTGAATGGAACTGCAGTTTTATGCTTTTTAGTCTCTGCATTACTCTTTAAATCTTGTATTTTTGCTTTAATTTCACACTTACAGTACTTATAATGAGCCTTGGTCATATCCCCAGGAACTGCCATCAACCAGTCTATAATTATGTCATCATGCAGCCACTCTTACCAAAAATTTTACTCATCTTTACTTTAGGCATGTTGAAAGGTTTTTTCAAAGTAAAAGCAACATATGAAGGCGAGCAATTATTTTTAAAAAATAACATGAAAAAGAAACACAAAGTCAGCACAGTGAGGATACGGTTGAAACAAAGTTAGCTTTTAATCAGTACCGAGGCTGCCAGATATTTGACCGTTGTGAGAGTTCAAAGTTTAAGTAATCGCAATTGTCACAATGTACGTGCCAGACCAAAACAATAATTTTCTAGTAAAAATGTTACACAGTAATTTTTAAACTGACACTGAAAGAAAACAAATCTATAAAATATCTAACTCCCCCAAAAAACTTCTAGAAAAACATTTACCATCTAAACGTCAAAAACACCATTTAAATGCAAGGAAAACATCTAAATCTGGATGTAAAACATCCAAAGTGGCAACACTGCTACCCACTTAGCTGAAATGCTTACTATCTGCACTTGCTGATGCATGCTAGGAATGGGAACGAACGAACTTTTTATAAAGGGTTACAAATTAGGCACGCAGGCCTGTCTTATATTCGGCCCTTTAAACCTCTCATCTTTCACACAGCTGTTGTATTTCATAAATAACGCATGTTATGTTCATGTAATAATATGCATATTATGAATATCAAGTCAAAAACAAAAGCATGGGTGGTAAAATATGTGCGCACGCTCACGCGCGAACACACACACACCCACATACACACACACACCCACTCACTCACACACACACACACACAAAGGCACCCAATACACACACACATCCACATACATACGAACATGCACACACACACATAATGCATACATACATACATGCATACATACATACATACATACATACATACATACATACATACATACATACATACATACATACATACATACATACATACATACATACATACATACATACATACATACATGCATACATAAATACATACATACATACATACATACATACATACATACATACATACATACATACATACATACATACATACATACATACATACATACCCACAGTCACCTACACAGACACGCACTCTAAAACACACACGCATACAACCCAGACACATATAGACACACACAGCTATACACACACACACACATACACACACGTAGCCGCACAAAAAGACCTATACAACAATCAGCAAAATAAGAAGACAAAGGTTATGGTGCGAGGTGTTAGAAATAGACCAACAGTCTACATTGATGGTGAAGAGCTGAAGACAGTTGATTATTTTACCCATCTGCGATCCACAGTGTGTAACAAACTAACGCTGAACCAAGAAATAATATCAGTATAGCTAAAGCAGAAAAAAAAATGAGCAGATTAACAAAAAGTGTTTGGGAAATCAGAAAGCTAACGATTAAAACAAAAACTCTTGTCTCTCGGGCTTGTGTTCTCAGCACTCTGCTTCATTTCAGTGAAACCTGGATAACTTACTGGCACCAGGAGACACGACCAAATAGTTTTCACATGCATTGCAGGAACTGGCAGGACAAGATCACAAACAATAAGGCATTGGAAAGAGCTGGAATTACAACATTTTTCTCAAAGCTCAGTCTCAGAAGGCTCAGATGGCTTGGTCTCTGGTGGAGAACTGGGGATGGCAAAGTTCCTAAGGATATTCTCTATGGTGAATTAGAATTGGGTAGAAGATGTCGAGGCCGATCTCTACTGAAATAGAAAGATGTGCACAAGCGGGACATGAATGATACAGGTATTGAGATGGACTGCTGGGAACAAAATGTCATGAACCGTGTTGTGTGGATAAGGCACATCATGAAGAGAATGAGAATGAAAGAAGAAATTATAGCAGAAGGATGAGAGCTAAGCGTCTGAGAAAAAAAAAAAACCCACTAAATTTAAATGTCGACAACAATGGTCCTGAAATCACATGCTATTATTGTGAAAGACTTTTCTTAACGCGGTCGTGTCTTGCTATTCACATTCGCCATCGACTGTTAGTCCCATGTCTCCTCATAGCACAATATAACACTATCCTCTGGAAAGATGGAAAGGAGCCAGTGACGATGATCAGAAAGAATTAAACAAATAAAAACATGCCTTAACCCTTGCTTCATTTGAGCAAGAGATAATGGGAGTGGGGAATTATTCCAAACAGTAGAACAATTACACATTGATGGGTAAGATTTGTAAATACTCTGGAACAAGTATTTTAGTAGAGGACAAAGATGCAGTACATTTCCGTGTATAATAAGTGACTTCTGTCAGGCAAGCATATATATATATATATATATATATATATATATATATATATATATATATATATATATATATATATATATATATATATATATATATATATATATATATATATATATATATACATACATATATATGAGCTCTGGGAGATTACACGTAGCAATAAATGCCATGAACGACTGCGCAACGGGAAATCAGCCTTACACATTTCTAACCTCATACCCCAACTAGCACAACCCAAATCGACAAGCGTTTAAAGTACGCAGAGCGAACTATCCAAAAAGAGACACATTTCATTTTTTTAAAATTAAAAAAAAAAAAAAATCAAAAAAAAAATCCCGACCACGTTCAACTGGCTGAAACAAATTTTCGTTCCGTTTTTGATTGAAAAAAAAAAAAAAAAAAACTATCGACACGTTCAACCAGCATCTACAAAAAGGAAGCTTTTGGTTATAATTGAGACTAAGTTTATGAACGATACATAAAATGGCTTTAGACTGCAGTTTTTAGTTCGGGAGTGCAGCCAAACAAAAATTACAACACGCTGCCATGAGCATGTTACACCATAAATATCGGTACTAAACTACAACTGATCAGTAAAGACATTTTTCATGTTTACAACTATCTTTGCAATAGATGAAGCCACAAGACCTGGTTACGTTGATATGGTTTCTGGCTTTGACTGGTACATTACATGCCCAACCGTTTAATTGCAACAAAACTGGTGCGACTCAGAATGTAGGTAAGTAACGCTTACTTATAGCGCAAATAAAAATGTAACGTATGTCGTTCCGCAGGGAATACTTTTCTCAACCCAATGCATACTAGAAATTGGTTGGTAATTTGTGTGCGCAGTAGTTTTTTTTTTTTTATTCTGCGCGAACTTCAAGTGCGTATATGAACCTGCTCAGGGCACATGCTTTATAAACTGTCTTCTGGTCTATATCATTCAGCTTTTTGTTTGACCAAACGCTCTTTCTGACAAAGGTATGCAATATAGAAAGAAGCCTTTCATATTCGTCTCTGTAGTTCTGCGCCTAAGGAGGGATCGTCCTGGATTCGAGAGCCAAAGAAATCGAACTCGTATGCCAACAGGTGATGGTTGTAAACGGTAAGGCTTGGAGGGTTTACCACGTTCTTCCCCATCACTTGTATCTTGCCGATGCTGATGGTTGAGTCCACATTCTTCGCACGCATTTGCAAAATGATGCACAAGAATCCATCAGCAAGTCTTCGTCTAGGCAAAATATCAGATCACTAGAAACTAGTTTCTTAACCACAAAGCACAGAAACAGTTCTGTGAGTATATTTTCCAGTATAGAACTTGAAATGCAAGCGTTTTCAGTTCTGTTTGTCTCGTCTCCTTAGGGCGAAGTGGAGCACCAGCTGTACAGTGCTATTTTAATGCCACACCGATGATATAATGCTGTTTTCATAATGATATCAAACGATAACAATAGAAACATTGTTTTTATTACTAGGTATATTTCTGCCTCAAATTGTGTCGCCCCCTAAAGTGTGCCGTCCTGTTCAGCTGCACATGCTTAACTACGGTCATGCATGCATAAATGCATTTAAAAAAAGGATATTAATACAGACAGACGTACAGACTTTATACATTATGCAATTTGTTAATTTTATTATGATTATCAATATAATTTGTTTTTGTAGGTGCAAAACTGCCCATACTATCGCAGAATTATCATGCCACCGTTTCAGTCAGTATAGTAGACCAAAACTACTCAATGATGATCGACGAGCACGTAGACTATGACGGTCGCAGAGCTGCATTAACAGTTCACAAGGAAGGCAACATTGAGAATCTGATCTTCTCTTATGACACCAATGAAGTATTTTACATAACCA